CACATCTTGCCCCTGCTGGCCCTGCAGGCAAGCCATCAGCTTCTTATGGGTGCTGTGGGTCACCTGCTTCACCAGCTCCAGGCGCTTCTCTACCTGTTAGGGAGGCAGCATGGGGTTGGATGACAGGGAGCATGCTCCAAGCCAGCAACCAATCACACGCAGGCACACACACACACACACACACACACAGCAATAAGTCTATCAAACTGACAGTGTAAGAGAGAGTTTGATATTGGGGGGGCGGCACAAGTTAATAATCGCCCCTGTCCTCCTAGTTCCTATGCTCCTGCATCAAACATTAATATGCCAATATTAAAATACTGACCTTTTTAATTGAAAGTGTTAATTATGTATATATATATATATATACTACATGCCTCACCAACACGCACTCACACATACACAGACACACCAAATACCCTCTGGCAATAAATAACATATGAAAATATTCTCAGTAACAAGTCATTATCTACTCATTTTCATTCCAGCATTCTCTGCCTATCAGAGAAATGCAATAAAACAGGGCAATAAATGTGCAATTTCTATATCAATACATACCATCATCAAACACAATTCTGAGGCTTTCATCTTTAATAATTTGCATTCATTCCAACTACTAAAAAAAACATACATTATGCATAAGGTTGCATGTACAGTCGCAAAGACATTTTTCTTCCAGTGTGTACAAACGCTTTCGGCGTTAGCGTAGTACACTGCTGTCACCCTCTGTGGCGACATCTCACAGCTCAGCAGTTCTCCGACTCGAACATTAAACCACCTTATTCTGGCATCAAAATTAAAGTGTTTTTTTTTTTTTTTACCTGCAACAGATCCTCACTTAGCACTTCTGTTTTTTCTGCCCTAAAACCAGACAGGGGAAGAGGGGAGCAGAGGTCAGTCCCATAATCTCAGCAACTTGCAGGCAACATCAGAAAACAACACAGGTATTTCCTGCAGAGAAGAGGTTAGGTTAGGTTAGGTTAGGTTATTCAGGGGCGGGGCCAAAGGGGCGGGGCCAAAGGGGCACTGGACTCAGGTGAAAGCTGATTGGCTCTCGGAGTGTCACTCTCCGATTCAAAACATTTCACTGGTTAAATGGTTGGCCCCTCTGTATCAATTATGCCCCCTATTAAGCCCCCCACCATACAAAATCCTAGAATAACACTTATTTGCCAAGTTGGTTGACTGCCAGTTGACAATTAACGGGGTTCGGAGGCACCCAGGCGCCCCCTGTCTGAGTTCGCATGTTCAAAAGCCAACACCTGAGCAATGCTAACACTGCTAACGACGCTCAACGGTCCCGATCGGAGACCCAGGTCCAGCGGCACTGGATGGTTCCATGTACAGCCACGAATCGGGAGAGCAGCCTTCGTTAAATAACACAGCACAGAAACGAACCAAATGGCAAATTTGCTTATGTATAAATCCAGAACGATCCCTGTGGCCACACTGGACTGGGCTAATAATAATCAGTCCTGTGGGATTCATGCTTCCGGTTCTTATCTGCAAGCCCCTCTCCCACCAGTTACAGTCCCCAGACGAAGCTTATGCTGACTGGTTTTCACACCTTTACATAAAGAACTACTTACAGCGAGATCTTGCTGAGTCTGTCCCTTGTAAAGTGCAGCCTTCTTTTCCACATTGTACCCAGGACTGTGATTGTGAGTGTGTGGTCTAACAGGTTCCAGGCACGGGGGGAAAAATCCCTCAAGAATGAAACTAGAATGTCAGGTGTGACATCTCTGGCCAGTAAACTCAGGACGTTATCACTGGCCACGCCCCTTTGACCTCTATCCACACGCACGCAAACACCCACCTCTGGCTTAGACTCATATAGTGACCCTGGTATAGCCACAGTAAGTTATGCTTGAGTCCCAAGGGGCCACAGCTGATTGGTCCCCAGAGTTGCCCCTCCCCCAACATTCACAAATTCAAAACATATGATTGGCTAATGATAAGGTTGGCCCACATTTAAAAAAAAATCCTCAAATCGCCCCTGTCTAACCCCCCCAGGACCTCCACCTCCGGGCCCTGCTCCCAATCTCCAAGAGCTTCGGCTGGTCCACCGGCGAAAGTTTTTGGACCTTCAGACAAAAGAAACCGTAGGAAGCCAGCTATCATTCATCTCGCTGATTGCCAAAAAAAAAAAACGTAAAGGAAGGAAATACTTGAAAAATGTCCCTCTTTTCCCCATGAGTGCCAGGGACCTTACGGAGGCACAAATCAGCCGCCTTACGAGAATCTGATAATTAAACGTTAGCGGGGGGGGGATGCCTCTGAGAGGAGGCCCACTAAAAAGGAGAACAGGAGAACACTCTCTCCTCTGCTCTCCTCTGAGGACATTACCCCCATGTTTGGTGGTTACTGATTAACCCCCCCACACTGCGAAGACACAGAAGGAGCCCTGCTTCTCCCCACAGCGAGAAGATAAATTGAGCCGCTTCGATGTTACTGAGATGGCCCATCTGCCGCGGGCTACCCCGGAACGGCTTTTTCACTGCCTGCCCATCTCGGTACCCGCTCGACTCGATTCGCCTGCGTTCCGTCCAATTTACTCCAGTTTAATCCAATTTAATTCAGAAGGGAACAATTCCCATTCTCACGCCGGTCTCGGATTGATGGGAAATGAAGTCGCATTGTAAGAATGTGCTGAAGGACTTACAGCTATAAATAAATATGTCATTAAACAATTCGGTATTAAAGCATATAATGTGGTTCTTAGTTTATTAATCTTTCTTTGTTTCTCCATGGTAGGAGTTATAATGTACAGCATGGTGCAAAAGATTTCTCATAGGCCCTGACGGATTTCAGGAACCGGGAATTCTCATCAAGGAATATCCGTAGTGCCTCACTTGCCCCGCTTGCCGGAGCCTGGATGTTCGTTGCCATGGCAGCTCGCAATCTGCAAGGTCTGGATGTATTTTTCTTTAATGCAGCATTTTCCCAGCGATAAAACTGCAATTTTCGCATGTTGTGTGCTGGGGAAAAAAATGGATCTGGAATCGGAATTAAGGGCTTAGTGGTGCCACGGGCATGACTGCACTGACTGGGATCTGGGGCCGGGGTGGGACAGGAATGAGGTATCTGCACCAGAGGATCAGATCTCATATTGTGTGTGTGTGTGTGTGTCGGTCCTCCATAGTAATCAGTTCCAGGACAAAGCCTGTGTTTCACTGATTGACTTAATTGATAGGTCAGTGGATTCATTAAACACAGGCTGCTATCAGAGAGAAGCTTCCGGATTTTAGCCTTAGCGGCAGGCAGAGGAGAAGACCGGAGAAAGAACGATGGGCAAGCAAACAGGAAGGAGATTCATGTGGCCCCACCTGGGAGAGCATCCACCCAACGCACGCAGCTCCACCCAGACCCACTGAACAGGGATCTGGGCTGCTAGGCATCTTACTGCAGGTCAAGCAGAACCGGGCCAGGGTGAGGTGTCGGTCCAGGCCCAATCCAGGGAGTGGAAGCGGTCAAATCCGCAGGGGGAACAGCACATGTCCCTCCAGCCCGCCATCCCGTTGGCCACCTCCTTACATCACCGCCCAACTGAGTCATACTGGAAAACAGGCCAGTGGTGCCAGAAATATATTCTGCGAACCGGACCGGCATCACCCATCTCTCTCTGTCGGCTCCCGGCTCAGTCCCCGGAGAGACTCCTCTGAACGGGCGAGGGGAGTGGTCGGATTTCCAGCAAGTCTGCTCCACCCTATCGGGCCACAAATACGCCCCGCTCCTCCAATTAGTCGTCGCTAACGCTAAAAGTCCTAAAAGAAATTGCGGACTCTTTTTTTCCCCAACTCATATTTTCCATCCATTCATCTGCTATAACTGCATAAGCAGTCCAGGGCAGAAGGAGCCTGGAGGGGCGTGTGGGCTGTGCGGGATGCCAGTCCGTCACAAGGCACACGCTCAGGCCTAATGGCGATTAATAGGAGCAAGAAGATACCCAGAGGAAAGCGCAGCAACACAGAGAGAGCATGCAAAGAGCCACGGGCGGGGCTCAAACCTGCAGCCAGGGAAGTGTTTAATGCGTTTAGGATCCATTTCAAGGGTCAAGGATTTTTATTTCTTATTTTGCAAATGGATTATACAAGTACAACCCAATTTAGCGTTTTAGTCTTTAGCTAGCCCAGCTTAGCATCGTATGTACAGAGATTGCCGGAAAATGGGTGAAGACAGTGCCCTCCTGTTCTATTCTATTCAATTGAGTTCTAATCTGTTGCATTGTGTTACATTCTATTCTGGAACACAGGACAGTTCAGAATGCCAAGGCACGGTGAGATCAACCAATCACATCGCGGGGCGAGCTTTGCACTTCCTGTTCCAAAGGGTTGCCCGCCGCTCATGCCAGACCTGGCGGCTGACTTCGGGAGCCCTCCGTCGCCCCCGTTCACCCTGGCCGCTTCCTGTCCTTGCCTATG